CCCTGTCTGATGTTTCCAAATGTGGTGCCTCTTTGGTTCACTTTCTTTAGAATGTAAATTTCTTTTTCTCTTTCCAGTGAAGGAAAGGGGTAGTTGCCTAGCTGAGTGAGTTATATGTGTGGGTATAGGAGTGGGTAGGACAAGTGAAAAATCTAGGGTTAGTTACTCCACATGTAGACTTTAAGATAATCGTTCTTATATAAGCCCCCTGGACTTAACCCTCTGCCTTTCAAAAGTATGAAGTGCCCCTCATTTGTGAACCTATCTTGCTTCTGTTGGTTTCCTCCTAAATAGGCAAATGGGATTGTTCTGTCTTTGCTCTGCTAGGTTAGTTATCACTTATCCATCTGCTTTTCATTTTCCAAAATTTTGTTGATAACTCTTTTGTCATCTGAAATCTTCTCTGGTTCTCTTTGTCCTGGTACGTATATGTGATTTTTAATTATTTACTTTCAGGCTAGTGGTCTTTAGAAAATAGAAATGAAGGTAGCATGCATTTAATCTGTCATATTTAAACAGGTGAAACCTGCATTTTTAAAACACTCATCTATTTTTATTTTTTAGAAAAGGCATGTGACTGGCAACTATGTGAGGTTAGAGCCCTGTGACTCTGACTAAATCTCTGCTAGATTTCTCTGTCTCCATGTTTTACTGATTGTATCACGTAGCCTCTACAAGCATCCAAAATAGTGATTGATGGAAGTTATTTCTACTTGATGCGTCTTCTCAAATGGCACTTTATTGTTCAAAATAAAGATTTGGGAGAATGTCATATGAGACACATTGTACAAACAGGAATATAAGGCAAACTTCTTTTTTGTAAGGAAAAGGTATTGGACACTGGGGAAGAAGCTCACCTTATATTCAGGAATTTATAGTGGATATTAAAGCACTACTTCACTAGTTGGGAAATTAAGTTAGGGAAAAAGAACTAGGATAAGATAAACAAAGGTAAGTGGCAATAGGAGATAAGATCAAAATAAAATAGAGAAGCTTCAAAAAATACACAGACTAAACCAGTGTTTCATAAATTTTTATTTTTAGGTGAAAAATTAGATTATTTCAAGAGCTGGAGCTGAATCTATCGTTAAATAATGGCAACAGGTGACTTAAAAAGAAGCTTACGGAACCTAGAACAAGTGCTTCGCTTGCTAAATTATCCTGAAGAGGTGGATTGTGTAGGGTAAGCTATAATCTTGAACTTATTTGTATTCTTTTTGCTAGTGATTTGAGATAATATTTGACATGGGGGAAGTACCTAAAGAAAAATCAGATTTTATCTGGATTCTATTTAAATGTACCTTGAAATGATTAAAATATTTGAGAAAGAGAATTATAGGAGATTATGGCTAAGTGTTAATGAATGAAAAATTCCAACCCAAGAGATTTAAAACACCATTTAGAAGCACAGTATTTTTCAGTGTAGGATATGATCTCTGTACAACTTATAAATTTGTAGAAGTATAGTGTTTATTCCTGTTATAGAGGATAGGTTTTATACATTTAAGCCAAGAGTTCTTTTTGATATGGAAGATTCCAGTTAGTAGATTTCTTTATGGCAGCCTGAAGATTATTATTCAACTATTTCATTTAGCAGACCTCATTATGAACCTATCACATTGGATTCCATTTTCCAACTATGACTTACTTACTTTTGTAGTTTATACCAACATACATTCCTGCTATATTCATGTCAATCTAGTATGTTATTCCATGTTATTCTCTAATACTTAATATTCTGTTTCTTCATAGTGCTTATTCATACCTTTTATCATTGATTAGTTGATGTAGCAATTAAATGTTTCCCTTCAGCTTAATATTAATAGAATGTAAGCTGAAGTGTGGGACTTTGTCTTGTTCACTGTCGTATCCCCACGTGTAGAATTGTGCCTGACACATAGTAGGAGTTCATTAGACACTGAATGAATGAATGAGTGTCAAGGGACAAGTCCAGGTTAGGCATATATTCAAGTAGTAGAGTGAAATTTGATTAAACCAACTGCTAAGTAGAATCCTTGAGTACTGGGCTTACATATAAGATTGGATATTCTAATTGTGTACTAGGGAGAGCTGACGTCAAGAGAAGGTTACATATGAAAGGCTAGTGAGAAGAGT